TATCCTCTTTGCGATGTGACGACTTCTGTGCCTGGCTGCGGCTTCTGTCACTGTGTCCTCTGCGGTTTGAGTCCGCTTACATCGGAGCGATCCAGACTGACAATTAAAGAAAAGATTTCTCTAAATAAGCTGTTGGCTTTATTTTTTTTTCTTTATTTCTTTATTTTTATTCTTATGTTCTGGTCCAGTGGTGGGGAAGTGCTTGGGGAAATCGATGTGTTGGTTGAAGAGAGCAACGTCCTGGGTATGGAGATACCCGCTGATGAGGAAGGGGAATACGAAATGGTAGTGGGAGGGGGGGAAAACTGCTGTGAAGTCAGCTAGATAAGAGGGGATGTCCTTGAACAGCTCACAGCTATGCAAAAATCCCAGCAAGTGTTGCCCCAGCAAAGCCAGTGCTTCTAGATGAGCTGGCGAAGCATTGCTTGTGCCACATGCTGTTGTTGAAAAGGCTGTGCTGCCTTTTTTTTCATCTGCAAGACAGGCTGTAGAAAAAGTGGTGGGTACAGGTGAGTGTGCTTGGGAGAGTGTTAATGGTGTTTGCACAACTGAGTGTGCTTGGGAGAGTGTTAATGGTGTTTGCACAACTCAAGGGCTGGTAAGCACCCAAGGGTGTGCACTGCCGTGTTGTCTGAAGCTGCTTCTTTCACAAAGAGCTGGTTTCAAGGTCACACTGTTCATGTGCCTCCTCAAAGCATCACTTTACACAAAGGACCCCATCTGAGTTACTTTTTATTTTTTTCCTCCCCAACAGTTACATACTTAAGGTGTTGTAGAGGTCGGAGCGTACTAGAGAGGAGCAATTCTAAAATCTAACCTGACTCCTGGACCTTGTGGCGAGACAGCTCTGCCTTTAGGGAAGGTAGGAAGGTGAGCGCTAGGGGAGCCTGTCTGGTTATCTGCTTTAGGTAATGGAATAAATGCAGCTGCTCTGTCTGCTTAAAGCCGCTGAAGCTGTGCCCTCCTCCCCGGGGATACAAGCGTGGAGCAGGAGCTGCTCTGTTGGTTTGTTACAGCTGCTTATGCCCTGCCAGGGGAGGGGAGGAAGAATGGAACTCTGAAAAAAAACCGGAGACTTCTTGGAGAAACATGGCTCTGAAACCCCAAAGAACTCAAGGGAGGCTCGCTGGCCAAACTAGAGGAGAAATTCTGTGGCCAGTCTGGCTCCTGGGAGCGTGCACAGAGCCCTGCTGCACTGGTGCGGTGCCTGGGGAGTAATCTCTGGGTGGCCATGGTGGGTTGGAGCTGTCACCGTGTCTGGTGCTTGGCCCTTACTGTCCCAGGAAAACAACACTGTTCCCTGCACCCAAGCTAGTTACATTTATTCCCCCTGACACATACGAAACCGCGTAAATAGCTGTTGTTGTTGTAGCCCTGGTAAAACACAAGGGACCTTGGAACTCAAACCACTCGCTTGCTGCGAGTGACCGGGTGCTGCTGGGCAGCTCTGGCAGGGGTCGGAGGGGTGAGATGGTGTGTGGCGGGCAGCCGCTCGCCCCTCGTGTGGCTACAGGCT